ACACACTAATCCAATCAGATTAAGGCTGGAACTGATTACATGGGCATGCACACTTCCACAGCAGGTTATCAGACAAGCTAGCATGGCAAACTCATCGCTCCTTCTGCACTCACCAGCATCCACTTGATAGCATTTAAGGGTCAGCCCAGACAAACTCACAAACAACATGGTTGCAGCTGAAACTATGGCGGCAAGGTCTGCAGATCCACTGCTACTTTCTCTGCCAGTTTTTTTTTTTTTTTTTTTTATTGCAGTAAAATTCCTTTTATCTTCAGAGCAGCAGATTTGCCAGCTAGAGATATTTCAAAATCCCACTAAACTTCTCTTTGGGAAATGTTTTTGTGTGTGATATGGTTGAACTAATCCTTTTAAACTCTGAGTTAGAATTGGTCTTGTGCTGCTTGTTGCTGTTGTCCCGCTTCTATTTCCATTGCATTGAAGACTTGGGGGGTCAGGAAGCTTTGTGCCTTTTTAGAGATTTCTCACCACACCAGCAAAGCATCTTCAAAGCAGGATTAAGGGTGAAGCCAATATAAACAATGAAACTATACTTTTATTATCGAATGCGCTGCCATAGTTCAGTTTCTCCCTAAGGGTGTTATTGACAAAACGTCGTCTTACTCGAGTAAATCACAAATCTAATGGTGCCAAAATAGCAGCTAACAGGCAGAGGAGGAAAAAAATACACTGGAGAGTGGGTCCAAGTTCTCTTGCTCATCATTTGTATTGACTTGTTTTCTCCGCTTGCATTCACTTTCTCATTTCTTTAGACTTTAGTCCAATCTGGCACGTATCAGAAACAACACTGATGCGATTGATGAGTGCAGGGACAGATCCATTTCCCTTGTGTGTTATTATTCACCTGACCCAAGGGCAACAGTTTTCACTCCATATGGAGCTGAATGAAAAGAGCTGGAAGCTGCAGTCTAATAGCTTTTCTTAAAATCCAAGTGCTTTTTTTTTTTTTACATGTATAAGTTAAAATACACTTAAAAATCTCCATATACTGTGGTAGGAAGAAGGCTTTGTTTTCTCTATATTCACAATGAGACGTAAGCAGTTTGGAATTACTTGTACAAGGAGTTGGTGTAGGAAGATAAAAGGAAAAGCGTGCTCGCAAAGGGATTGCGATCCATCTCGAGGGGAAAATGAAAGTGCATAGCCACAAATAAATTACATCACACATGCATAAAACATCAGCTCCATCCTAACAATAAAGACAGAAACTGTAAGTAAATTACTTCTGAACAGACGCATGTGCACTGACTATTACTTTTCCTCCTGCTGCTGCAGCACCCGGAGCCCTGACCCAGGATTATCAGGGCGAAATGATTGCATCAATCCAGACAAAGATCATCCCGCTGAAAGTGGGGAAACTGTGATTTAGATGAATGAGTACAAGTCTGGAAGTGATTTCCATTCCCGCCCCAACAGTTGCTTAATCTCAGCAATCTGAAAGTCTTATCGTCGTTGGTGCTGTTGCTGTGGTGATTGATTGAAGAGCTCTTCACAGAGTGCTGCAGTCACTCAGCAATTGCAAGTGTTTTACAGGCACAACGGGACTAATGCGCATCTAATAGAGCCAGAGGTCCAGTCTGCCAAGACGTGCCCACCCTGAATCACTGGGAAACTGCTGTAAATTTAGAAGAGGCCAAGTTCATGTGTATCACTAATTGCAACACCTGAAATGGTTTATGACCACAGCCGTGCAGAGACGGATGAGAAAGCAATCTTACCACAAAATCTAGAGGCTATGTTGAGGAATCTACTAATTCGTGTTTCACTGGATTAGTAGATTTCAAAATTTCCTGTTTGTTTTTTTTTCAGGGTTCATTTAATTCCTGACATCCGAAACCAAACTGCCTTAGAAAATTCACAAATATTTGGGACGCTAAATTAGTTTTCCCTCAGTTTCAAACTGAACTTGTCTTCAAATTACTGACACTTTAACAACTACAGAACAATGGTGTCTGTATTCATAAAAAAAAGAAAAGAAAATGCCCTACTTTTTCTTGTACCTTGCAGTCATATCCCTGCCAGGAAATGTACCTGTCAAGAAGAAACAAAACCTAACAGAGCTAAAACGGTCCCACACTCATCTCTCATCTCTGCCTCTCACTTATTCCATTATATGCATTTTAGTCAATTCCCATCACAGCATCCCTTATTATTTTTTCTATTTCTCATATATCATCTCTTTTCTGTTTCATCTAAATCTGTCACAAGCAAGGCCTGTTCTCCTTTGCATTGATCAGCATCTAATTTTAGTGAAGGCTGACGCCTCTTGATGTTGTAAAATGAACGAGTGCCTTGTTGTATACCAGAGCCCTTGAATCAGTTGCATTGACTTTGAAGAGCTGGAGCACCAGTGATGAGGAGGTGGTGGTGGAGGAGGAGGGGCTGATGAAGAGGAAACTTGTTTTAATATGACAGTTAATGAGGTAAACATTGCCCCCGGTGCCTGTTTTTGGGATTGGAAATTTAGCTCCTATAATTTCTGCCCAAATTCACCAAAAGTCACCATATGTTCAGCTGCGTGGCGCTTTGATGAAGAAGAGCCGTGGGAGAATGAAAGATGGATGACGATGAACTCACAACCACAGGGAGCATTTGTCTGATGCACCAATAAATCTTCTGGATTTCCCCACCCCCAGCCCTCTAACCTGCCACCCAAAGCTGCTTCAGATAAAACAAATGTCTTATCCCTCAACCAGGTGTAAGATATGTTCAACCTTCATTGCACGTTTGTTTGGTTTTTTTGAGACACAATAGGTGTGGCTCCTAAGCCGACTCTGCTGTGCTGCTTCTGCACAACTGGCAGACAGAGAATTTCCTGCCCCATGATCAATAAGGCAACAGTAATTTTTCCTTAAGTCCCATGAGACGGAAATGAAATGCTTCTAGTCAAAGTCCTATTTGTGCCGCCTCCTCCTTTGTGTAATTTTAAAAGTGCTTTCTTCATAAATTTATGACTTTGCCTCATTACAGGTGAGACAGATTGATTATGAAGCGGAGAGACTCCCACTGGGCCATTTTTTCATGCTGCATTGTGTGGGACTGACACAAGACTAAAGGAAGACAAAACCAGCACTGAGTGTCTATATTTACCAGTGCAGAACCTGCCAGTGCCTGTGTGTGTAGGCTGAGAGCAGGAATATCGCTTCAGTAGGAAAATATTGTGAAGGCTGTTTATTGCAGGGTGAAGAATCAGGAAAGACTCAGTTTGAGGTGTTGTGGGAACCTTTGGTCAAAAGTTACCGAGATACAGGACCTGCAGATATTTTAGGCACTAAATGGTTAAAAGCAGTAAGAAAAGGACGATTGGAGCCAAACAGAGGCCATGGACACTTTGGAAGGGTTGTGGTTTGATCCTACTGTTTCTAAAGCTTTTTATTACAAATGCTAGAACACAAGAGTGCATTTTCCTAGTATTGGAAGTATCGGTAGACGTCTTCATGGTGTTTTAAAACCTTGAAAAGCTTCTGAGTTAAAAAAAAAAAAAAAAAGATCTTCAAATAGGCTGCTGCTGCTAGACTGATAGATTTTGGTGATTGGTGCAGAAAGGTTACAGCCAAAGACTCCACTTTCAGATTTTTCTTTTTGTAATTTGTCTTGACTTCAATCTTTCTCAATGTGGTTTTATATTTCTAGCCATTAAAATAAATCACTAATCTATGGCGTCTGTGTGACCCAGCAGCTGGGTGGTTGGGACCTACTCTCTCATTTGATTCGTAGCCCACAGTTTTCTTTCTTCATTGGACTCAAAAATAAAGGCAAAAAATGTACAGAGAAAAATCAACAAGAAAAATGAACCATAACTTCTTCACACATTTCTATACCATTATATAAAACTTCAAAATATAGGGGTTTTTTTTAGAATGAAATGTTAGTGCGTTCAGACCTGCATGCTACCACAGATTCAACAAGGTGCTGGAAAATTCCTCTGAGATTTTGCTCCATATTGAGATGATAGCTTCCGATATTTGTTGCAAATTTGTCAGATGAATGTCCAAGGCATCTCCCACATGCTTTATTGGACTGAGATCTGGCGACTGTGGAGACCATGTGAGTTTCTTGAACATGACCATGTTCAAAAAAACATTACCTAAGCTATATGACCACAGGGTACCTGTCAAAAGAAGGGTACAATGTAGTCATAAAGGTTTCACAATGGGCTCACCCGAAACCTTGGCTGATTGTGACCTACACCAGTTTTCACACCTTAGCTCATGTGATTAGGTAGAGGATCATTAGGGGGTCCTTTTGTCCCTCTTGGACACTCCCACATTTTTAAATTAAGTCACCTCGCTTCTCCATTTGCACACATGTTTTGAATTTCAGCAGGTTGTTTCAAACATGTGCAGATACTGCACATCAGTCTGCCATGTGACTTTCTAATCCGTCACATGGCAGATACTCTGTTCATTTAGGCATGTACATACAGGCCTAAATGAACAGAGTATCTGCCATGTGACTGATTAGAAACTTTGCATTAAAAAGCAATTCAACAATTGTACCTAATAAAGTGGTAGGTAAACCGTTCTGTGACATATTTGAAAGTGTTTCAGTGTTTTGAAAGCACATTTAGTCTCATTTCACATACAGGTGTTTTCCTTTGTGTGGAGTGTGAACCATCTACTTCACAGTAACTTGCACCTTGACCGTTCTCATTAATTTTATAAACTTCTAAGAGCAGCGGACGTGTTGACACACTAATGGAGAGAAAGCAGAGAAATGCTCCTACATTCGTTCTTGCTGGTTCACTGTCATGGCTTATTAGGTAGTTTAATGGAACTGAGTCATCATTAATGTTATTAATTACTCGTGCTTTTAGTGTTGTGAAGTCAAAATGTCTGTCACGACAAAAGTTTCAACCCTGCTTTAGCTTTTAAATACTTCCCACAATAATATTCAGTGTTTTGTTAGAAAATCAACTGTGTTTAAAGAAACCCATTCAAGCTAAAATAATCCAAGATGCTTACAGAAAACAAGCCGGAGAAAATGTACATTTTTAATTAAAACATGTTCATAATTTATACTTCATTATAATGTGCATCTGTGCATTAATTACATTCAAGGCCTTTCCAGTCTAATTCACAACCGAGTAAAGAACTTTATATACACACAGTGTAATCATTTACAATGTCAAAATTAGGCTGAAATGGTTAAACTGTTAATGTTTGATCACGCTAAAGTCACACGTTGTCCAGGTTTAAATTTGACAGATTTTCTGTCTCCTGAGACGCCAAAGCCTTCATACCTAAAGAAAATTTAAAAAAAAAAGATTTATATTAAAACACTGAATTAAATCAGAATGTAAAGTTACATTTTTGTACAATGACACAGTTTTGAAATGTTGCCTCTGTATACCAAAACCATTTTTATGCATAGTTCTCTATTTTCAGAGGCTCAAAAGTAATTGGACAATTAAATGACAAGCGTTTCATGACCAGGTGAGGCCTGTTAGCAGATAAACAATCTGGATTGTGATTCCAAGAGTTGGGAGTTGAATTTGGTAGCTTTTCACTTAATGTCAGGTCCTAAGAGACATTGATAAAAGTGAAGGAAGCCATCATGAAGTTGACAAACCAAGTTAATCATCAAAACAACGTCTGAAAGACCACAGAGGACATCTAAGAGAATACTCTCCATGGTTAAGAAAAACTACTTCACCACATCTAACCAATACAAAAACCTCTGATCAGGTAGACATATCATATCAAAGCCTACAATCGACAGAATGCAAATACAGAGCATTTGCAACAAGGCGCAAACCTTCCACTCGTGTACAAGAAGATCAGATTAGACTTTGCCAGAAAACATATAAAATAGCCTGCTGAGTTCTGGGGGAAACCAAGATGATCGTGTGTAGCGTGTGAATAATGATCCAATAAAGTATTGAGGAGGAGAGCAGCTCATGATATGAAGCATACAACATCACCTGTCAAACATGATGGAGGCAGTGTTATGGCATGGGGATGTATGGCTAACAGTGTAACGAGGCCACTAGCATTTATAGATGTGACTGATGCTAGATGCAGAATGACGAAATGTGTACAGGGTTACATCCTCTGCTCAGATTCAACCAAATGTAAAATCGCTGCAAGAATTTTCAAGGCAGAGAAAAGGGATGTTCCTCAATCCGCCGTTACTTACCTGATCTCAACCCAGTAGCTTTTCAGTTATTTAAATACAAAACTGAATCCAGAGAGACCCACAAACAAGCATCTAAACTTCAGGCAGTCAGTGACTGCAGTGGATTTTCATTGAAGTATTTAAAAAATAAAAATAAAAAAAACACCCTTATATTAAGAAATATTTTAGCTTGTCCAGTTATTTTGAGCCTTTGAAAAGACTGTGGCTAAAATGGCTGTAATGCCTGAAGTTTTCATGCAAAAGTTTGGATAAACCCCTTTAAATTAAAATTAAAGCAGAAAGTGTGCATTTCAATCACATCTTGACCATATGATGACAAACTACCTGTGGTGGTGTACAGGGAGAAAGCTAAAAAAAAAAAAGTGTGACTGTCTAAAAAAAAACAAACATATCAACTTAATTGTATATCTCTGTTCAGCCACCTGAGAGCTGAGTAGTAAAACAGCAACTACTACGTGTGCAGTTTCTCTACTCTCATTTAGTTGTTCAAGTTATTTCCCAAAATACACAGTACTGCAACTAAGATTTGTTTTTTTCACATTGTTTGTTTGGTTTTTTTTAGTCCTCCATTGACGCTACCTGTCAGGAACCAGTTTTTCATGTTTTTAATTTCCTCCTGTTGATGACACTTTAAGTAGCTTATGATGTCCTTGATAAATTGAGCATACTAAAGTCAATATTAAACAAATAACTGTTATAAAATCCTATTATTTCATTTGTACTGCTCACTTACAGTTTTGTGTATCTCTTCCAGTCGGCTTGGCTGAGGGAGGGTTTGGTCACGGCCAAGGCGGCGTTCACATGTGCTTGGCGCAGCAGCAGGCCTGGTTGTTTGGCAGCTGGATGCACATAAGCACACTCTTCCTACACAATCAATCACAAAGTAATTATATACATAGCAGCTCATATAGGAAGACCTGGTTCTACAGGATGGAAAAGACTAGTGAAGCCAACTACAATGAAAAAAGTCCTAATCAGAATAACAGCACATTTCAGACGCTCAAATATATTCATTGCAGTCACTCACATTGGCTTTCCTGTAGTTGTTCTTGATGTTATTAATCTCTTGTTGTAGTCGCTCCAGTTGCTCTCGGCCAAGCTCTTCATATCCCCTCTGGAGCGAGGGCATGTACGCAGGATTGACTGAGCTAGCGTGGTCACGAACTGATCCTCCAGTAAAGTCAGTGTTTATGGAACTGGGTCCAGAGATGCACTGGGAGTTCTGTTAAAGCAGGAGGATCGGAGGAAGAAAAACACACACAAAAATTATGAGTGATAACATTTTTTTAATCCTATACTTAGTGCTACAATTGTACTATGTGGTAGTAGTGCTCACTGGTTTTGAATTCTCCAACTCGGACTCGGAACTCTCAAAGTACAGTCTCCAGACATTGCCGTGGTGGTGTTTGTTTTCTGCATGAAGCTCACTGGGCTCCACGACCACCATAGACTGGTCCAGCCCCATGCCTGACTCTCCCTCTCCCGCCGAGTCGTCTGACCCACTGCACTGGTTGTTCGGGAAGATCATGGAGGAAAGGCTCATGTCGCTTTCTGAGCCAGAGTTCAGCTCCTGATTGCCACATAGGAAGAGTGGGTTTAGACGCTCATATATATGGATTCACGAGGATTTGTAGTGTCCAACATGGGTCTTAACTGTGATACTACAGCTCAGTTTGAAATTAGTTTAAGCCTACTGTGCCTCAGGTAAGTTATTCCATTACATTTCTTGTCACTAAGGTTGGAGATAATTTAAATTAAGCTGAAAACTGATAATGGATTCAGAACTGGAGCAACTCACATGCTGAGACACATACAAAATACATTATTTAATTTGCCTGAGGGGCTAAAAAAATGCTTGGCTGCTACAAAATGAACTATAAATAATGGAATGACCAACAGTTCCCTGACTTCCTGTTTTATTAACCTAACGTAATACATAATAACACAGTCATCAGACAATACTTTAAGTACAATAGACTTACATGTGGTGCACTGGTGCCTATGCTGTTGTGGACAGCCTCCAGCTGTGCATTGTAGAGTAAGGCTTTCAGATCTGCCCCAGTAAACTGCTCTGTCGCTGCTGCCAGCTGCTCCAGGTCAACATCAGGAGCCAGGGGGACGCCTGCAGTCAGAGCTTTCAGGATCTCCACACGAGCCTCCTGGAAATGTGACACAATAGCTCGATTTAAAACCCAAGAATCTTTCATGTAACATGACTCAACATTACTTTTTGTCTTTTAAGGACTGATACATATATAATGAGTTTAGAAGTGAAGTGATGTTAATTAATAATTATTAATATTCTTTTAAACCAACAAACCAGGTCAGGGGGAGGGCAGTAAAGGGATTTGTCCAGCCGTCCAGGTCTCAGCAGGGCCGGGTCAATCAAATCTGGTCGGCTGGTGGCTGCAAGCACGTACACACCTATGAAGACAAACACGAAGAATTCAAATGTATTTATTTTAAATTGAATTGAATTAAAGATCCCTCCAAGTATGTTTCAAGACAGATTAAAATGCTCCTAATTCGTCCACAAAAAGGTTTAACTACATCTCTATAACCTTTCATAGCCAACTATATTGTTCAAATGTACTGGCCCCAGGTTTAGAGTAGAGATGGCATGATACCACTTTTTTTATGTCCGATACCAATATCATAAATTTGGATATCGGCCGATACCAATATGAATCCGATATAGTGTATTTTTTAATTAAAACTGTTTTTTTAATATCTTGCTGCATTTTGTATAAGTTCAAATTCAAGTTAAAAAAAACAAACAAACACTAAAGCTATTCTGTTATACCTGTATTCAAAAAATACACTGCACCCAAAATATTTCAGTTCAGCAACACTGATTAATCTAATAAACTTAAACCTACTCCATCCTTCCTATTCTGGTATTTTAAAGAGTACTTAGCAGAAATATTAAGCAACCTAACTAATAGGGTTGCAAACTCCCAGCAAAAAAAAAAAAAAAAAAAAAGGGAACCACCCCCCACCTCATGATGCTTAATCGATGTAATCAACTTTAATTTGATGCAGTGTGAAAATGCACAGAAATCAATTATTTTTCAAGAATAGTTAAATAGATTCAACATCTTTCTTCAACAGAACTACAGACTGCACAAAAGGAAAAAGTAGTAAAGCTTACTAGGGTATATTAGACTTAATAGTTACTATATACAGTAATGGACTTCTATACTTTTTACATCAGATTAAAACTTTGGGTGTAAGATTCAGATAATTGATTATTAAAAGCTCGACATTTTAAATGAGAATAAGAAAGAAAAGTATGTCTTTGTGCCCCCTTTCCCTGTTCAAGCCCTATCGGCCCCCCTGGCTAAACTTTGCTAGATCCGCCCCTGCACAGTTACCAGCCGTCAGCTACATAGAAAAAGATCCTGGTGTACAAAGTAATATTAAATAAATTCTAACAACAGCTTATCAAGCTTAAACGTGCTGCTGTTGTTCAGCCGCTGGTTTCCTCTTTCTGGTGCAAAGTGGGCCAAAAACAAACAAGAGAGACGGACTCGCGACAGAAAAGCCGATCAGCTGATCATTAATCAGTTTCACAATTGAAGTAGCAGGGAGAGAGAGAGGCAGTTGCTCCATATATCGGTTGTTAAGCTTAATGTGGGAATGCTTTACAAACATTCAGAGATGAACTTACACACTTGCTTTACTTCTCTCTGGGATAACTTTCTCGGAGATGAAATGCTGGTTTGGTAGCAAGCCTACAAAAAAACACAGCTGCTCTATCACGTGAGCACACTGCACCGACACTCTACGGTTATGAGCCGAGTTACGCCGTGTCGCAAGTTTTGTGAGGTGCTTTTTTGATATTTAATGGATCGGATTACATTTTTTATTTCTCTCCGATATCCGATCCAGTAATTTACATCAGTATCGGACCGATACCAATACTTAATATCGGATCGGTCCATCTCTAGTTTAGAGTGTATTCATATTAGTCATAAGTATCACAATGAAGCACGTTTGATATATTGTAATCACTGCATAACATGCTTGGTCATGATTTAGTGAACCTTCACTTGAAGAGGCAGTAGCTGAGCTCAAGCACAGCACACACGTAATGTGCCCAAGCATAGAACTTCAGTGTTTTTTCCGATGAGAAGCTCATCTGAAGTAATTAATTGAGCAATCTATAAGGCATTCAAGAGGAACGTTTACTGCTCTGAAAACAGCATAGTTCAAACCCCAAAATGCATAAAATCATCACTGTACTTTGGAAAAGTGTTTTTCAAAACCATGTGAGTGCAAGAGTGAAGAGCACTCGGGTCTACACAGTTAAGTGCAGTGTGAGTGGAAGCCAGCCAGGAGAGGCAGGACAATTGTGCAAGGGTATGGTACAAGGTAACCCTGCCAAGTGTAGATTCACCCTTATTTTATTAATGTATTGACTAAACAGTGGCCATAATCACACTTAAAAAATTTTTTTTAAATCCATTATATGTATATTGTTTTCCCCCATCAATCCCAAAATTATTAACATTAAATTATCAAAGTCATGCTTAGATGCTCTGTCATCACCCAAAGGTCCATTTGAGCCAGGAGGGGAAAAGAACTGAATGGACTTCAGGAGACTTAACTCGCACTAAACTTTAAATGGCTTTAAACACTTCTGATCTCATCCCAACAGAGTCAGTCAGGAGGTAAAGCAGATTACTACAAAGCACCCGTGATGATGACTGTGTGTATAGTTTAAAGATGTATGATGTTACCCTGCAGTCCCTCCACTCCATCCAGCTGGGTGAGGAGCTGGTTGACCACGCGGTCGGTTACACCTGTGCTGTCGTGGCCCCTCCTGGGGGCCAGAGCGTCAAACTCGTCAAAGAACAGGATGCAGGGCTTGGCGGCTTGTGCCCTAAAAGAGGCAGAAGAAGAAGCGATCAAAGGAAATAAAAAGAAAACACTTCATTTATGTGAAACGCCAATACTTTACCATTACTTCAAATGTTTTATGTTAATAATTATAACTTGCAACAAAAGGTAATAACACAGCAACAGCGATGCCGGGAGGAGTTTAAAAGTTCACTAACCTCTGGAAGACATCACGGACTCCCTTCTCACTGGCTCCAATGTACTTACTCAGAAGTTCAGGTCCCTGGAGGGAGAGTTTAAAAAAATCCCTTGTTGCTGTAGAAACTTTGCTCTCATACAGAAGGGCACAGTCTTATTTTAATGACGAAGCTGAAGCAGAGCCTACCTTGATGCTGATAAAGTTCATACCACTGTCTTTGGAGACAGCTCTGGCCAGCAGTGTTTTTCCTGTACCAGGAGCGCCATACAGCAGAGCTCCTGAGCGATGGCGGATAGGAAGATTGGCGAAAAGGACCGGATACTGCAACACACCAAGGACCCACAGTCAGTGACTGTGCAATAACTTATGCTGAATTCTAGCCTTGTCTGCTGATATAAGGGAGACCTCCCTTCATTTTTAAGAAGTAGTGTTAAAAAGGAAGAAGCTCAAACATTAACAGCCATGTCTTTTCCCCAAAAACCACCGTGATGAGTTGATGACAACACGGGGCTGAGCAGTCTGAGGGCTCACAGGATCAAAGATTACATGATAAAAATAGATCAAAGTTACCCACCGCTCCGAAAACACCCTCATTATGTTCTGAAACTGGAAGCGTCATTGTCAGTCATATTTGAGGTAAATATATCAAAATAATTGTCAAAAAAGGGTCAACTGGGGGACCTTTAGATTATGCAACTATACTGCAACTCAAAGACTGGGCTGTAAGCAAGGGATCTGAAGAATCCTAAGGTAAATTAAATGAGGAACATTTTCATTAGTTATAAGACCTTTTACTGGATTTTCTCTACTACTATAAGACACATGCAACACCCAAGCTGAATAAACAGATAAACTATCCTGGCAGTTTTCCACCTCTCCAGAAAGAAAAGACGCTTTACCGGCTCGAATAAAAGAGGTTTTAATATAGTAGTTGGACTAGGCATTTACATAATTTGGAAGTCTTATTATTACTTTGCTTGTAGTTTTTGTTTGTTTCTAAATCAGCTGATTCAAATATTTTATTTTCACTTTGTCTGTACTGAGCCCCTCATCACCACTCATGCCAATGCTTTCCAAAGCTCATCTGTACAACAATCAATAGTAATTATGGTGTTTAAAATACCTAGATAGTCGCTCATTATACCACACTGCAGCTAAAACACATTTTGAAAAAAGCAACAGCCATCTGACCTTAGCAGGGAGCAGTATGGTGTCCATAAGCTGCTGTCGCACTTCTTTTAGCCCTCCTACCCTGTCCAACCCAAATCCACTGGGGGTGTGGAGGTCTACACCCCACAAAGAGGGGGGTGTGAAGCCTTTGAGAGCCTGCGCAAAGTCCCTCCAGGACAGACACACTCCTGCAAAATACAGGGCACAATGAATACATCTGGACAATAACTCTACATTAGCATCAGTGGTCACATGATGCAGGAAGAATCTGAAGACCTGTAATTGATCTATTGGGAATTTCATCAGTCTTTGATACCTTGTTCACTGTGTCCTCTTAGCATAGCGTTAGCATGAACAGCCCGCTCTAACAGCAGTACTAGATCTTGAGGTGTGTATCCCTCTGTCTCCTTAGCAACAGCCCCGATATCAAGACTCACAGTCTCAACAGACAGGCAGGACTTCCTCAGGATCAGATGGATCAGAATCTCAACCCTCTGGGCCTGCAAACAATAACATGATCAGTGTTTTTTTTTTCTACTTTGTGTGTGTGT